GCGGCCATCAGTCCCCTCCCCTGCGGTCCTGGTCTGGGGATTTAGGTATATGCCCTGACGGGGAGTTGAACCTACAACCTTTTGGTTACAGGACAACACTCCAACCAAATGAGCCACACCAGTCGGTGGAATGATAGATCTTATTGACAAGTTTGGGAGAGGCCTTTGGGTAACCCCTGGAACTAGGAACTATGGATTCTGTCTCTCCATGGAGCAACTATAGAGAGCCTGGCCCCCACGTGGTGAGGCCGCGGTCATCTAACACTGCCTAGGTCTTGGAAGAGAAGAAGACGAACTCTGGAAAGTGTATTGGGTGAGATATTTGAACCACAGTCTGCAATAATAAGTTTATTATTAGAAAATGTGACAGGTTGATCACATCTGCCTTATTTTTTTTCTCACTTCTTTAGAATTCAGGCCAAGAGAAAGGGTGCTGGTTATTGGAATCTTGAAATCCAAGATGAGGTTTGAGGCTTCAACAATGTAGTATTTTGACCTTGGCAGATTACTGAGGTTTATGGAGGCTGTGTCCACAGATGAATGTATGTTTTTATACAGACTGCACGGGTATTAAGCAAGTCTGAGCCAAGTCTTGAAAGCTAATAAAAGACCAGGTCTTTTGGAAAACATGGCGTCACAGAACCTTCTGGAGATAAAATCTCCGGTACCCAGTGGTCCCAGGAGGTATCTCCAAGGAACTGTGATTGCTGTGCGTGTGAGGTGGGGGGCGGGGGCTTTGTGAAGGTGGGACTGAAACTGCCTTCTCAGCTGCTACCCTCCCCTGAGGGGACAGCCATTTCAGTCGCTCAGGGCCCAACTGCTTTAGCCTAAAGTGTTGAGTTTAAAGAAGAAATCATTCCGAAGGGTCTGGGAAGGAATCACACTCCCCCTGCCTCCTGGGTTTTCTTCCACGTGGGGCAGCTTCATTATAGTAAAACTGCTGCATTCCGTCCTCTCACGGACTTCCCTGTGGGGAGAATGAACAACGTATCCTCATAGACTTTATAAGAAATCAGTCTTCTTGCCTCTGTCACTGCCCTCAAGAAGGTTAGCATTTGGTTCTGTTCCCCCTTGCTGTTGGTTCATGGCAACACACACCTAGGAGGAGAGGTCTGTGGCAGTCCAATATAATCAGTACGAGAAGCCAAGAAGTAACTATCGTAAATGGAGGAGAAAATGGTGTCACGTGGAGGGGTTGGCAGTTCACTGCTGTATTTCCTCATGTGCCAGTGGAACCTGGGGGAAGGAGGCAAGAAAGATCTCACCCAGGCACTTAGGAGAAACAATAGAGCAGTTTAAAAACATTTTGGCCTTGGCCGGTGTGGTTTGATTCATTGGGGTGTCTTCCCATTGCACTGAAAGTTCTTGGGTTCAATTCCCAGTCAGGGCACATACCTAGATTGCAGGTTCAGTCCTCCATTTGGGGTATGTATGGGATGCAACCAATTGATGTCTGTCTGCCTCTGTCTCAAATCAATAAATGTATCATCGGGCAAGGATTTAAAAAATCGTTTTGTCCGCAGGCCTCTCCAGCCTGCTGAGGGCCCACCACTGGCCCCTTGCCCAGGAAGGTGGAGCAAGAACGCACATGTTAGGACCCAAAAGATGGGGAACTATTAGCGGGCAGGGCAAAGCCAGAGGAAACTGGCGGAGGTCTATAGCAGTTGTGACGTGCAAATCGGTGGTCTGACCTGGGTATAGGGGTGAAAGACTAGTGGAACCATCTGGTAGCTGGTTCCCTCCAAAGTTTCCCTTGGGATAGCTGGTGCTTTTGCGGAACTCGAACCCCATGGGGGGAAAATCATTTTGGACAGTGCAGGTAGGCATTTTAGTTGGAGAGAACTTGTTTGTGAGCGACAGTAACCTCAATAAGAATTCCTTTACCCTAGCTGCAGTGAAAAAAAAAAGGGGTTGGCTGGTTGAGAGCATGCAGTAAGCAACATTATGGACATCTCTGAGACAAAAAGCACAACCAGGTCACTGGGGAATGGAAATTTCCAGAAATCCATCTTCCATCAGACTGCTTGCCACCTCATCTCGCTGCTTGTTATGTCGTTTGTTTTTCTCTGCAGAGTGGCTATTTCTGCTTCCCCAAATTTAAATGTACACATAATTTTGGCTTCTCAGGGTGTCAGTGCTAGCCAAAATTCTGTTTGATCTTTCAGTTCAAGCCTCCCTCCCATTATCATATGACTTAGCCTGTCTTAGTGTCCTAATTCCAAATCCTTTGGAAAGAGGACCTGATTGACCTGGCTTGAGCCAAGAAGAATTTAACAGGGGTTGTGGGCGGGAAGCAGTTGCAAATATGGAGCGTGCCTGGGCTGGACAAGTACCGTATTTTTAGGGCTGTCAGATACAGCGGACCATAAGACACAACCTAGGTTTTAGAGGAGGAAAATAGGAAAAACATTTCTGAAGCAAAAACTGTAAAATATTTAATAACCTGTGACCCCGCTCCACCACCGCTCCCCACCCCCAACAGTGAGCCAGGTAAGCTACATTCGGACTATAAGACTCACCTCTATTTCCCTCCCATATTTTTTGGGAAAAGTGTGTCTCGTAGTCCAAAACATGAGGTACCTCCGATTTGTTTCCCTTAGTAAGGAAAATCAAAATAATTTGTGTATACAGAACAGGCCAATCAAAGTCCCTAGACTCCTAAAAGTCATGGGATCCTTGCCCATGGTCGCATGCAGAGGTAGGTGACCCTGGCTAGTTGTTTAAGCATAGATGGTCAGGGTTTTGACCATGTGACCCTGATTGCCGTTTCTCACCACCATTAGAAATTGAATCAGAAGAGGTCATGTGACCAAGAGATAGCCCATCCGTTGTCCGGGCAGTGACCTGAGTTGGTCTAGCCCCCAAAGCTCTGCCACACAGGGACAACGATCAGTCGAATCCTTTTCATTCTAGAGTTGGAGTAGAAGCTATAGAAAAAGACAATAGTAATAAGTGAGGGTCCTAAAGTGAAATCTTGGGGAGGTGGGGTCCCTTTGAGGGGAAAACAGGCTGAAGTCATGAGTAATAATAGTAAGTTATAAATTTAAAAAAACTATGAGTTAGAGCAAAGTTACAGAACAGAGATGGTAGCAATAGAAGTGGTTGAAGCAAAGACAAAAACCAAAAAATTGGGTCACTTTAGTGGCAAGAGATCCATAAATTGAATGGGTATCAAGAACGCTCTGTTCCTGGAGCAGGGCTGCAGGCTCCCAGTTCTCCAACACCATGCTGAGAGCTTGAGCGAGGTCAGTTCCACTGTCCCTGTGTTCCCCTGAGATTCTTGTTTTTCTTATTGCCACCCGTGTCCTTCTAATTATTTTTCTTGCTCTTTCATTACTTATGATCAAGGAAGCCTAACCAACCACAGATACTGAATATGTCACCTCTGTATTCGAATATATACGGCCTAGGATTGAAAATAGTGGGAAGGAAGAAGAGAGACAAAAAGTGAGTAAAAGACAGATGTATAAGGACTTGAAACTGCTGAACAGAAAAGTTGACAAATGGAGTGTCAGCTTGGCTACCTATCCATGCGTTTTTTGGCTGGTATATTCTGTGACTTTGTGCTGTGACTCTTTGGCTTCCTTGGCCTTTACCTGCCCCTTTCACTACCTGAAGAGAGATAGCAGAAAGAACAGACTTTAAACCTGCTATTGAGACAGGCTAGCAAGCCAGGACACGTGGAATAGGGAAGCTGAGACAGGTAAAAGGTCAAGCAGCTTACAGCCATCTAGTGAATCGAAAAATCCTACCTTCTCTAACCAAGGACACTTACTAGTCGATGGCTTATGGATATGGCTGGGTACTCCGTTGGTTACAGTGTCATCCTGATATGTCAAGGTTGTGGGTTTGATGCCAGGTCAGGGCAGATACAAGAATCAGCCAATGAATGTATGAATAGGTAAAACAACAAATCAATGTTTCTCTGCCCCCCACCTTTCTCTAAAATCAATCAATAAAAAAAATTTTAAGGGTAAATGGATTATATTTCTCCCAAACTCGAGGGTAAATAGCTTACATCCCCCTACTCTGGGAGGTAGACAGCAGAAATCTTATTAGTGCCATTTGTGCCAACCACATCCAAGGACAGATGAAGTCAGGGGAATAAATCTCATTTTGGTGCAGCAGCATAAAGCTGATGACTATTTTCTTGAGATCCTCCCCTAAGACCTCCCCTACACACTCGCCCTTTAAAACCCTGGAGATGAAGGCCCCTGTATGCGCCTTCCCTCTCGGGAGCGTGCCTGCACCTCTGCTTGCCACCTGCTTCCCCCAGGTGCATCACCTCTGCCTTTCTCCTGAGCTCCAGGGGCTCGTCTTTTGCTTCAGTACCATGTTTCCTGAGCCTATGCAGCCCACCTGGCTGATTTCTACTACCTCTGTAACTTTCTAAATAAGCTTTCTCTTCAATTTGAGTTCTTGGCTTTGAGTTCTTTTTTTTGTGGAATTCAAGAACCAAGGACCAGTTTCAAAGCCAACATGGCAGGTAACACTATAACCTTGGAGAGTTGCTATTGTTTCATCAGTAGCTTTAGGGAAGCATCAGAGGCGATCAAGAGCTGAAGTCTCTACGAAGGGGATTTAAGGCCCAGGTCTTCATCCTTCATCATCACTGAAGGGACTAACTGAACGCCTGGCACTCATGACGCACAGCTACATGCCCTGAGTTTCGGGATGTTCATTTGAGATTTTCCTGCCTTCCCCAATTTGTCATGACTAAATGACTTGTCAATCACAGTTAAAACAGTCTAGGATATGGTAAAGATATTTTGTTTTGTTCTTGTGAAAGATCTACTTCTTGAGGTAAGTCCAAAATATCTAACACATTAAAGTGCAAATACTTAGATAGAAAATATACTTACACATCAAAAAGCAAGAACATTTAGGAGACTGTATATTTGCCTTTGGGCTTAATAAAATATTTTAAAATATTTTGTTTTATAATCACACATTTAATACAAATTTCTTTATTTTGTATCCAATAGAAAAGCATGTTTGGAATCTATTTACAACACTATACATTTGCATATATTATATACAGTTAATGAATTTAATGAAAGTGGGCAGGGAAACACAATATATATGGAAGAATATGCCTGTACATGGTTTATTATCATGGTCCTTTGTGTTACTGAATCTTTACTGTAGTAATAAATACAGTTCTATATTTACACATCTTATAAAACATCTCATAAATGTATTCTTTCAATTCCAAGTTAAAACATCTGATCAAAATAAACATGCTTATATAAAAATAGATCTACCTAACAGTATTTTGGTTTGGGTGTATTGAAGCTAATATAGTATAATAAAGTTATGAATTAATCCTTTGACCTTTAGTGTTTAATAATTTTGCCTCTTAAAATACCTAACACATGTATTAAATATGAAATAAGCAGAGAAGTCACGTTCCTGATGTCAAATGGGCTGACCAAAGACCGCACAGCTAAAACCAACCTAAATAAACGGGGTAATGTGTTACCATATTGCTGCTGCGTCCACAGTGGTTTCAGACATCATTGCTGGAGCTGCTAGAGATATGTGTGTGAGAAGTTATGTCGGTGGATTTAATTTATGTCATGTCTGCACTTGATCATTACCTTAGATGTATATCTCAGCTTGAGTCAACTGAGAAAACCTCCTGCAAAAAAATGTGCACTCACCCAGGAGAAAGGAAAAAAAAAATCCCAGGTTGCTTACCATCTTTAGTAAGTGTGTCCATTGCTGGCAATGGAATTTTCTTCTGAGTTTTGGGCATCAGGGAGTTAAAAATGAGTTCGACAAGCAAACTTCACCTGGAGAGGGCTGCCTTCATGGCAATTTAAGAATTTAAGTTCATTTTCCTTTCAGAATATTTGTAAGCAGTTTTATTTAACTGAAGATGGAACCATCTAGTGCAGATAAATTAAACCAGGCATTTCTAAAAATGAAGTGAATACGAGTCAATTAATAATGCCTTCTATTAGCCATTCCCTGGGGAGACTGGTGACTTGGGATGATCCTTTCTGAGCAAAGGCCAAGGAGAACTGAAACATCTCCATGTGGTCAGGAAAGTGAAATCCTACCGGTCACAACCTCACTCGGTACTGCAGGCCTTTTACGACCCTCATTGTCCCAATACCTCCAACCACCTTTGAAAGGGTTCAGGGGTTTAAAACCTCTTTTGTGAGCAAGGACCCACCTCTCCCCGCTCCACCCCCCACCATTAGATTGGTGAGTTTTAAAAGAATTGAACTGAAATCACAGAGAACCTTTTTTGAACATTTCAATCTGCTTTAAAAAAAAAATTCTGGGCTTACCTAAATAGTGCGTCTGATCTCTCTCTCTTTCTGAACAAACTTTACAAGCAGCATTTAGACTTGTTTTTCACTCTCCAGCCTCAATAAGTTTTCAGCTTTCTAACACTAAGAGATTTAAAACAAAATCAAGTGTCAACTCCGTTCTTTTTAGTTACTGCTCTGATCTACTACTCAATCTCACATTTGGGGGTTTTCCATTTTTGAGAACTTTTTCACACACACATTAATTAGAGACATGGGACAAATGCCACGGATGAAAGATGACAGCTTTCGGTCACTGGGTAAGCGGATGGTGAGCTGGAACTGGAAGGCAGGTCGTAGGCTATGCTGGCACTGGTGAATGTCACCAAGGCTTGGGTTGAGTCACAGGACTGCTTCTCCACATCATCCGAGTTGATAGACATCAGGCTTGGGTGTGTGGATCTCGTCCAGAAGTGGGCTTGCTTCCCCAGACTCCCCAAGTCCTCCTTAAAATGGGGGTTGAAGAGGATGTAGAGAAGGGGATTGAGACAGGCAGGAAGGGGGCCAATCACCAGGAGGATAAACTTAATGACTTCAGGACTGATGAAGGTGAGGTTCAGTAAAGAAGAGAAGGACAAGAAAGCCACGGGGCAGTAAAGGATGCAGTTGGTGAACAGCAGGAGTGCAATGTGCTTCACCATAGCACAGTCCCAAATATTCTCCAGGTCCCCCCTTTCCAGGCTGCAGTAGAGCTTGGTGTAGGCGATGGTCATCACGAGGAAGCAAAGGGAGTTGAGCAGGACGAGAGCGACCATGTAGCCGGTGGTGCTGGGCTCCCCCAAGGGCAGCGGCAGGCAGAGCGGGGAGGCGCTGTACTCACTGCCGCCCAGCAGGGGCACCGTGGCGACGGTCAGGGCCAGCGCGGCGCAGAGCACAATGACCGCTTTCAGACTGGAAAAGGGAGTTTTCGTTTCAAATTTCGCAGAGTATTTCACCGAGAACCCACGCTCCAGCGCTGCCAGAGTCAGCAGGAAAACAGATGATTCTGAAGCGAAAATGGACAAAAACCCGACGACTTGGCAACCTACCCCTTGCTCCCACCACGCACCGTGCCGTGCAAAGCTGCCAAAAGTGACCGCGTCCACGCCAGCCAGCACCGCACTGGAGACCCCCATGAGCATGTTCGCCGCTGCTATTAACCCGATGAGCAGTTTGATGGAGGAAATGTACAGAGGGGCTCGGAACACTGTCCAAGTCACCAAGGCGTTACAAGTAAGGGCCAAAACTGCAATGGTCCACACTCCAATCCTGATCAGCCAGCTACCGAACAGGTATTCGCAGAGTTTGAAGGGCCCTAGAAGTCCAAGGAAGAAAAAGACTGGGTATCACATTATGGCTTACGACTTTTGCCAAATTACCTCTGTTTCTCTTATTGGGACACCAAGCGATAGCGGCAGGTAATAGCCACAGAGACACCCAGTCTCCTCGGGGCACACTCCACTTTCCTCGGCCACCGTCATTACTGCCTTGGGTGGCAATGATGAGGTGAGCACACCCAGGCGCTCATGTTTTCAGGCTATGCACAGAGACATGCAGCTGGGGAACTTAAATCACTCAGTTAAGGGCCCCTAAACACAGCAAAGCTGGAGCCAGGTAAAAACCCAGGTCTCCTGGGCTTTGCAGTATTTCTTTTTTCTCTTTCGGAGTGCTTCAAGAAGATTCTGTAAGCAGGGAAGGCGAATCCGAGGCAAATACTCCATAATGTTGGAAGAAGATATATGGATAGTATGAAGGCATGTTTCTTGAAAATCTTGCCTTAGGTTTGGAATGGCACTTGATGTTTGAGAGCAAGGGACATGCTAACTGTTGAAATTAAAATATTAACCTTCCCAGCTGTCTTTTTTTTTTTCCCAACTGGCCCTTCCTGTTTCTGGAAATGGGACAATTTATGAAATCTGTATATACAGATATTTTTTACTTATACGTAGAAACTATTTTTTGCTTTAACCAAATAGCTATTTAGGGAAGAAATCACTTTCAAAAATCAGTGATTACAGGAAGCAAGACTGTTGCTTAGTAGTTCAGGCCAAATTGCTAATATCATTTAAAAAATTACACATGCTTCCAGCCATAGTTTCCATTAGCCTGAATCAAAGTCTCCCACAAAAGTTTTATTTACGAATGGAGACCAACTCCAGGGAATGAATATGTGTATTGTAAAGGTCCCAATGGGGCAGGACATTGAGTAGCCACAAAGGGAGCACAGACTGTGCTGTGAGGTGCAGCCACATGTCACCGATGGCCTGAGAGTCGGTGGCGGGGATTGCTGTTGAGGCCGTTCCGGTGTCTTTCTCACCTGGGGAAGGGGAGCATTGCACTGAGTGAAGGGCTTTCAGGTCTTCCTCAAAGTCAAGCAGGAGATCTTCAAGATCACGCTCATCTGCAGGAATGAGAGGTCCTGGAATGGTTAGTTCTGTCTCTCTTTTCAGGGGGACCAGGTATCAAGAAGGAGGGTCCTGGATTGCTCTTAGGCATGAAAGGTTACAAAGGGAACTGAAAGTCAGACATCCAGCTCTTCCCTGGGCTCTGGCTTCCTTGCAAGTCCGCTATATGGTTGCTTTTGGATGCTTCACTCAGGCTACCCCGCAAAGCTGGGCGTAAGGGAAAATAACCTTGGACTCCAGGTCCTAACATCTAAGTTCTCATTCTGTTCTAGTTCCTTGGAGCTCATGATGGCACCACGTGGCACTGACCTAAATTAGAAAAAGGCTGTGAACCTCTCCAGTGCAAGAAGCTTTTTACCCTATTTGCCAACGCTTGGAGAGCTGCAGTGAAGTGTTCTGGGCTGCGTTCGCTGATGTTGCCTGGTTTAGGTACGCGTGAAACAGGAGTTTTGTGATCTAACACACTTTTCAAAGGTGCGGATTAAATCGTGGGGTTTGGGCATGAGTACTTTTTAAAAGCTTCCATTGGATTCCAATAGGTGGCCCAAGGCTGAGCATCCCTGTTGTTGAAAATAAACTCCACCAAGAATGTTGTGTCGCTTGTTCATTGTATACCTCTAGGGCTTAGAACACTGCCTGGCACATAGTAGGCACTCTGATTGTTTTACTTTATTTTTTTTTAAGAGCAAAAAGTTAAAGCAGCAAGAAGTGCAAGACACATGCTGTGGCCTAAAACAAAAAAAGCCAAGGGCCGAAATATCAGCTTCTTAAACTGATGTGTGTAGGAAGAAATGTGAAGGTTACATGCAGAGAGACTGAGTCATACTTGCTTGGGAATCAACGGATCATTAAGGCCCAAAGGAATAAAAGCCAGTCTGCGCAAACATGCAGAGTTGGCAGGGAAAGGCAAATTGAGGCTGCCCAGAGGGCCTCCTCATGACCACAGGTGTGGTTTGAGGTACATTGGTGTCTGTTTAAGTAAGGTGTTACTTCAAGGAAAGCCAAGTGCTTCACAGACATTATCTCATTTCACCTTCCTGGCAGATCCCCCTGTGGGGGGTAGGAGGGAGAAATGTTTTGGAATTAGTTAGATAAGAAGTTGGATTCTTAAGCCCTTCTGCGGAAATATGGAGGCATCTAAAATGCCGATGTCCTGAACATAAGAATGGAAATGAATTCTCTCTTCTGAAGAAAAGAGCCCAGAAGCATGTTTGAAGAAAGTGTCCACAGAGAGAAGGCCCTTTTAAAAGTTTATGGAAATATTGACATCATTATTAATAATCACCCCATATTTATACAATATGTGCTAAGGGAGATCTAATAAATATAAGAAAGTTTTAGAATGAATGCACAAGGAGCTTTCTCTCTCCCTGGGAGTCTTGAAAAGGTGGCATGGATTCCAGCATGGATTCACAGCATGGATTCGCAGCATGGACTGATTCCCAGGGAGGTGTCTGGAGTTCAGATGATCTGTTTGATGACTTTTCAAGGCCCTTCCTGACACAATTTCATTGCCAGGGCAGTTGATCTTACCTTGAACTTGAAACATTCCAGCATCTTTCTTATGAAGATCATCTGTAGTGCTGTTGTCTCCTTTATTCCACTGATTAGAAATTTTATAGACATTCTCACACATTCCAAATGCACAGCACTGGTAAGCATAAGGCATTTCTATAACCCTTTAAATGAACAAAACCAAAGAAAAAAGAACATACACTTAAGAAGTAAATTGTTAAATATGATGTTCATCTTCTTTCACTCATTAATTCTACTTTTGGATTTCAGCTTCAGTAAATAAAATATTAACTATGTGCATAAAGATGTTTTATTATAATGCTATTTATAACAATGGAATTATTAAAATTATTGCTCTGAAATGTTAATAATTGCTGAGGTTGAGTGATAGGTATATTTTTCTCTACTTTTATGTTTGAAAATTTCCATAATAAAACAGTTACAAAATGACTACTAGGAAAATCGTAGCATCATTAAAAAGTGCTTATGGTATAACAAAATGTTAAGTGGTGAAAACATAAAAGTTCATATATGTACTATGATTCTAACAATTAAAAATACATTAGAGCCCTGGTTGGTGTGGCTCTGGGGATTAAGTGCCAGCCTGTGAACCAAGGGGTCACTGGTTCAATTCCCAGTCACAGCACATGCCTGAGTTGAGGGCCACTTCCCTAGTTAGAGGTTGTGTGAGAGGCAGCTGTTTTCTTTCAAAAAACACTGGAGTACATCAATGTTTTTTTTCTTCTCTTGCACCCTCCCTTCCCATCTCTCTAAAAATAAATAAATAAAACCTTAAAAAATACATTGCAAACAAAGTCTGGAAGGAAATAGCATAAAAAGTTGTTTAAGGGTATTTTCAGATCCCCCCCCCTTCTACTTTCCAAATTCTCTTTTGGGGTTATGGTTTTGAAAGTACATAAAGAATACTTTGATTAAGAATACATGTATATATAATCTTTCATGAGATGTCTATCGATAATAACCATAACAGATTTTAAAGAGCATTACTTCCTCAAGCAAATATTAATTTAGTACATTTTATTAGAGTATATACACAAGCTAGATGAATTTAAGAATGTAAACAGGAGTACAATAATGCTATTATGTTATTTAATTACATGTCTTAGTTTCTGTCCCCTGGATCCGTGGTCTTTAAACTCTCTCCGTGAACTCCATGATTCCGGGAGGCATCTCCGAGAGCCGGCAGTGTGGGCAGGAAGAACCTCTCTCCCACTTCGGAACTCACCCGAACGATGCTTCGGGCAGAAGACTCGAGGGCATGAAATGCAATTCAAAAGGGTCCCATGACCTCATAAACTTTGAAAACCACTATAACACGTCTGTTATTTCACATGACCACAAATGTATCTTATTAGTCTCAATGATAAACTCACTTGAGTTCTGGAAGGTTTTCAGATGATATCAAGCTCTGTAAGGCATGATTTCCTGTTAATTTTAAGTGAGTTAAACCATGTAACCCAGTTACAGGAAAAGACGACAGGCGGTTGGACGATAGGTCCCTGCAAAACATCAAACAGCAGTTGGCTTTCCGACCGTGCTAGCATCAAGTGCTCATGTTAAAAAAGCAACCTTGTGATTATTAAGCTGTTCCAAAGAAACTTCTGAGCAGGATCTTCCCTTGTAATGGTAACAGTAGCCACCTTGTTTTGAGTTCCTATACCTTTTCTGTTTACAATCAGAATTGCAGAGGGGAAATGTTTTTGTCCCATCCACATGGGCATTTCTGTATTCAGCTGAGTTTGGCTAGGGGTGGGGAAGTTCGAAAGTGAGGTGGCAGCTGCTACATCTAATTTGGAAGTGATGCCCACTGGATTAAGTTAGGGGTGAGGGGAAAAATGTCCTTGGGGATTTATTCCCTTCCCCTTAACTTCTATTTGACCAATTCCTTCTTTCTCTGTTGGACAAGGGGGGGTGAAGAGGGGAAAGAGCAGGAGGTGGAAAGGGAAGGAAAACAGGGACAGAAAGGTTTTCTATTAGTTAAGATAGCCAATTATAAAATAGAAGACCTTTAGAAAAATATTGACATCTTAGTCCATTCCACCTGATCACTCAGCAAAAAAATGCAAAATTTTACCTCAGGCACCAGAACCAGCTGTCACTCAGATCTTTAATTATCCACACAATGTCCCCCATGGTCTGGGAGGGGTAGGGGCTCCTTTCTGGTCTGACAATTCTAGTGTGGAGGACACTGAGGGCTGGGCAATCCGCACTGTAAGCTTAGGTGGTCCCTCACTATTAAAAGACCTGCCATAAACCAACGATACAACACTCACAGCTTTCTTAGAGATGGCAGCGTTGAAAATGCATTGGGGTGAATCACAGCAATTTTGTTCCAAGCCAAATTCCTATTTAAAAGAAAAAGTGAGATGGTTATACATTAAAAAAATGACTGTGTGAAGTGTTATCATATATATTCATTCTTCTAACAAAATTTAATTTTAATCCGGTATAGGAACAATTAACTTGTCAAATCATCCTTCAGATAAAAATACTAATAGTATAAAATGATTAAAGAGAACTTTAGAGCAACCTTGTTTAAATCAATCAAGGAAAACTATTCAGGTGGATATTTTCATTTTTAACCTCTTCTTGGTAAGAAGTTGACTTTAACATGGCTATAAAATTTTATTAGGGCATTTCTAAGATGAGTGGTGGCAGGGGAGTGGGAAGAGATAGGACTTCTGAGTGATCAGGGCGAATGCTTTGTCAGCAAGCACATTTTAAGTTAGAAAATGTCCCTGGATATAATGAAATTCAACAAGAATTTGTCTATTTGTCTACATTGCTCATGGTGCCAGGCCTTAAGGAAATCAGAGAAGCTTTTTTAAAAATCCTAGTAAATGAGGCAGGTGTTTAAATTCCTTTTTTAAAAAAGATTTTATTTATTTATTTTTAGTGAGAGGGGAGGGAGGGAGAAAGAAAGGAAGAGAAACATCGATTGGTTGCATCTTGCATGAGGGCCTGCAAGCCAGGCATGTGACCCAACCGGAATCAAATCAGAAACCTTTCGCCTTGTGGAACAATGGCCAACCAACTAAGCCAGGTGGGTTAGGCTGACATTTAAATTTTTAACTGGGAAATGAATGAAAGAGGGGCTAGCATACATTGAAAATAAAATCCTTTAACAACAAAGAAAATCTACAGTGTAAAGAGAAATAAAATTCCCATACTCCTCCCCTACACACACACACACACACACACACACACACACACACACACATATACATATAATTTCAGAGGAATAAGAACTTCTACATTTTAAAAATGGAGCAAAGAACTTAAAATTTCTATATTTTTAAATCCCTAACTAAAACAGGTAACAAAAGCGTACATATTTGAATAAATTAAAAGAGATTTGAGATCCAAGGTGGCACCTTCTCCCAGGACAAAACCAAAATTACATCTAAATTATAGAACAATCTAGCTGAATAACAAACTGAAGACTAGCTGAACAGAGACTGGTAGGAAGGGTAAAGAAGTAAAAAGGGCTGGCTCCGCTCCCAGGGGTGGTGGCTGAGATTCTGGAGGAATATCTTACCTGCAAAGGTCCCCCCTTGAGACCAAAGGGTCTCGACCTCATGCCAGGCTCCCCAGCCTGGAGAACCAGAACTGGAAAGAGATGCTCACATAACATGTGGCTGTGAAAATCAGTGGGGACTCTGTCTGCCAGGGAGAGATGGGAATCTGCTAGAAAGCCAGAGGTCCTTTTAAAGGGCCAGTGCAAATATCTCATTTGCAGCCACTCACCATAGGCACTGGCAAAGGAGATGTAACTCAGAAGGCAGTGTGGCTTCAGAGAGAAGGCTGAGGGGCAACTGCCAAAGTCCCGTTAGCTGAGTCCCTCACCCATACCACACACAGACGCCATCTTTCCTGGGTGGAGCACTCCTCTCCGTATAGCACCAGCCTAAGTGAACGCATTAACTCCACCCTCCTGACTCCCTGTGGCCCAGCAGTGCCAAACTCTTACCCTGAGGAGGAGTCTGCTGGCTGCTGCCAGACTGCTCACAGTGCAGACTTGCTTAGAGGGCCCAGAACAAGGTCTGGATGGTCTCAGAGTGTGTCAGAGATGAACAGGAAAAGACTAAGTTTTGTGACTCTAGGGTGAGGACCATTTTTCCCCCCTCACACCAAACCATTGCAGCCCCCCAACTCCCAAGGGACATCCACTGGCCCCATCCTTCAACTCACTGGGGGCCTGCACTGACAAACTCTAGCTCTGTGGCAGAGTCTGCTAGATGCTGTCACCCTGGGCCCACGGTGCAGACTTTCTTGGACAGCTCTTGAGAAGACTCAGGAGTGGCAGAGACTGGGTTGTGTGGCTATAGGGCAAGGGCCGTTTGCCCTTGCACCTGATAGCACCATTCCTACGCAGAGTGCTCCCTCCACACAACCAGATATTGGTCTGCTTTAACCTGATGAACTTTGTTGACCTCACCCTGATGACTCCCTGAGACTTCTCCCCACCACAAAGGTCTGCAGGCCTCTGGTGGGTGGTGTTCACCTTGGTGTACACCTGGGACTTCTGCTGAGTGGTCTCAGACCCAGCAGTGGTGCTGAGTGGGAATCTGTATTAACCTGGTGAACACAAGTTGCTCCTATCTGGTGACTCACTGACAACCTACTTCACACAACACATATACTGCCAGAAGCTCTTTCAGTGACTGAGCCTAACAGATGGAGGTAGATCTCAGGGTTTTGTGGGCCTTTTGCTAACATGCCTTGGGGCTTGGTGCCGATGGAAGCTGGCCTTGCTGTTTGCCTTGGCCCCTTCTATTTGCACCCAGGCCCAGGAGGGGCAGCCACAAACTGTGGATTGCTTTGTAGCTCCAAACAGGTAGCCTAGGGTTTGTTATAAGCAGCACTTGATATTGATAAGCCCTGGAATCCCTCCTAAGAGGCCCCAGAACCAACACACCTGGTTGTGGGCTTCAGAACACATCAGAGCCTGACCCAATTAGCTCCACAAGTGGCATACCCAAAGGGAGATTTCGGCAGGCACCAGCCCCTGCTGGAGTGAATTTCCTTTCATGGGGTCAGCCCTTGCACACCAGCTCATGCGCTGTAGTCAAGGACAATCCTCATAGTCATCCAGCCTGAGAGTCAACCCAACCAATGAATGGGCCAACAGCAATCTAGAGAACTACAATAGGATGGCTCACTTACCCCACACAAAGGATGTTCCTGGAGCACCTAGCACAGGTGATTAGGAAGACTAAAGGAGTGCATTACTTCACACCCATATTATAAGAAATGCTAGAGACTTCATTAATAAGAAGAAAGAAAAAAAAGAGAGAAACAAAATTATAAAGAACAAAATGATGACTTCTGGCCAAGATGGAGGTATTGGTAGATACACTGTGCCTCCTTGCACAACCAAAATAAGGACAACGACAAATTTTAAAAACAAAAAACAACCAGAACTGACAGGAAATCGAACTGTATGGAATTCTGACAACCAAGAAGTTAAAGAAACATTCATCTGGACTGGTAGGAGGGGTGGAGATGGGCAGTTGGGTAGAGAGAACTCATGGCAAGGCAGTGGCTGGAGGACCTGGGTGGGCAAGGCAGCTGGCAGACCCAGTGAGGTGGGGGATTGCATACTGGGTGGCCCCACATTTGCATGCAGATAAACTGGGAGGAACAACTGGGGAGCAAGACAGACCCACAACCCAGGACCCCAGCTCAGGGAAATAAAGCCTCAAAATCTTTGGCTGAAAATACCTGTGGGGGTTGAGGCAGCAACAGGAGAAACTCTGTTCACAGGAGAGTTTGTTGGAGAGGTCCATAGGGTCCTAGAATGTACACAAATTCACCCACATGGAATCAGCACCAGAAGGGCCCAATTTGCTTGTGGGTAGTGGGGGAAATGACTGAAAACTAGCAGAGAGCTGAGCAAGAGGCTTTGTTCCCTCTCTAATCCCTCCTCCACATACAGTGTCAAAAAACAGCAATGTGGTTGCCCTGCCCTGGTGCACCAAGACATAGCAGGTGCACCGAGACCAAAAAAAAAAAAAAAAAAAAGGCCCAAATGAAAGTACAGTTCAAAGCTCCAGAAAAAATACAACTAAGCAATGAAGGGATACCCAACCTATCAGTTGGCTGATAGGGGAGCACAGTTCAAAACACTGGTTATTAGGATGCTCCAGGAACTCACTGGGTACTTAAATGGCATAAAAAAGATCCAGGCAGCAATGAAGGTCAGATTATTTTCTAAGTAAAGAAAAATCTACAGAGAACCAAGAGTGATGGGAAGGAAACCAAACTCAAATCAATGGTTTGGAGCAGAAGGAAGAAAGAAACATTCAAGCAGAACAGAATGAAGGAATGAGAATTCAAAAAAATGAGGAGAGGCTTAGGAACTTCCAGAACACCTTTAAATGTTCCAACAACCGAATTATAGGGGTACCAGAAGGAGAAGAGCAAGAAATTAAAAATTTATTTGAACAAATAATAAAAGAGAACTTCCCCGTTCTGGCAAAGGAAATAGACTTCCAGGAAGTCCAAGAAGCTCAGAAAGTCCCAAAGAAGGTGGACCCAAGAAGGAACACACCAAGGCACATCATAATTACATTACCCAAGATTAAAATGAAGGAGAGAATCTCAAAAAGCAGCAAGAGAAAAGGAGACAGTTACCTACAAAGGAGTTCCCATCAGACTGTCAGCTGATTTCTCAAAAGAGACCTTACAAGCAAGAAGGGGCTGGAAAGAAGCATTCCAAGTCATTAAAGGCAAGGACCCACATCCAAGGTTGCTCTATCCAGCAAAGATTTCATTTAGAATGGAAGGGCAGATAAAGTGCTTCTCAGATAAGGTCAAGTTTAAGGAGTTCATCATCACCAAGCCATTATTATATGAAATGTTAAAGGGACTTATCTAAGAAGAAGAAGATAAAAATATGAACAGTAAAATGACAACAAACACAATTATTAACAACTGAACTTAATAAAAAAACAAAACAACATGAAGCAAACAACTGGAACAGGAAAAGAATCACAGAAATGGAGATCACATGGAGGGTTATCAGTGGGGGAGTGGGAGAGGGAGAGAGGGAGAAAAGGTACAGAGAATAAGTAGCATAAATGGTAGGTAGAAAATAGACAGGAGGCGGTTAGGAATAGTATAGGAAATGTAAAAGCCAAAGAACTTATATGTACAACCCATGGACATGAACTAAAGTGGGGGAATGCAGGTGAGAGGGGGTGCGCAAGGCAGAGGGGAATAAAGGAGGTAAAATGGGAAACTATAATAGCATAATCAATAAAATGTATTTAAAAAGAATAAAATAATAATAAATGCACACCTATTAAAAATCACTTTAAATGTAAATGGCTTAAATATCCCA